GAAGATAGTCCCAGTCCTTGGGCCCTTGCACCCGCATGGGAAGACCCAGAGGAAGCTCCTGGCTCCTGGCTTCGGATCGGCGCAGCTCCGGTTGTTGCGGCCAATTGGGGAGTGAACCATCGGATGAAGACTTCCCTCTCTGCCTCTCCTCTTCTCTGTGTAACTCTGACTAAAAGATCCACAAAATCACTGCTTCTAATAACTTCCATCTTAATTCTGTTCATATACACAACAAATAATCTTTGTATGATTTTAATATATAGTGGGTTTCTCAGAAATGGAACTATTATCATGTAAAATGAGGGGAAACAGTACATGATTCATAACTTTAAAAAGAAAGGTTATCATTTAGAAAAATCAAGTCAAGTCACTCAGCAATGTCACTTAGTAAGTTGAGTAAAAATAACAGAAGTTTGTACTTATAGCTGTAACATTAACGATACAATGCATAATCATCTAACTACTTCATTGTGTCTTCTAATACAGCTATGCTTGGGCATTTACATTATTATGCTGGTTTATTATAAATTACTTTTATTTCACTTTTATATTACAGTTGGGTATTCATGTCTCTACATTGTATGCATGAATATAGAAAGATTATATTCATGAATTCACTCACTTGAAAAATATTTATAGAGTACTACTTATGTTCTAATCACTGTTCTAGGAATTTTAAATACATGACTGAACAAAACAGATATCCTGACTGGCACAAATGTACTAAGGACATTTAACTCTTTAGAAGAACAAGCAGAGCAGGATAAGGTGGACTGAGAACGCTGCAAGGACAGGGTATATCATGCAAAACACAGAGAGTGGTCAGGAGATCCTACTGGGAAGGGGGAAGCTGAGAAAGGCTCGGGATGAGTGAGACAGTCAAGTGCAAACAAGGCGACAGTCAAGCTGGGTTTATACACGGCAGATCTGAGGTGGGAGAGAAAGTAATACTACAGACACCAGTCAGTGTAGCTCATCCTCTCTAAACACACCAGCTTTCACTGACTGAAATGGCATAATATTATAGGAGGTCTGGAGCAATAAAGTGACATGATCTGAATTAGATTTTAAAAGGACCGCAGTGTAGCAGGTGAAAACAGTGCCTGCAATGCTGTCATCCCACATAGGCACAGTTTCCAGTCCTGGCTGCTCCACTTCCAATCCAGCTCCCTGCTAATGCACCTGGAAAAGCAGTAGAAGGCAGCCCAAGTACTTGGATCTCTACTAACCACGTAGGAGACTTGAATAAAGCTTCTGGTTTCTGGCTTCAGCCGAGCCCATTGCTGGCCGTTACAGCCATCTTGGGAGTGAACTCTGCCTTTCAAATAAATAAAACATTAATTAAAAAAAAAAAAGTCCTGACACTGGCAAGAATTCTTCCACTGCTTTTGGTGCAAATGACATTTTTTCCCCCTAAATTAAGTGGAAACTTACTAAAAACCACTTCCAAGAAGATTTTATTTACTTGGGAAAACTTTATTAATGAGATGATTTTTTAAATTATTTTTTGGAGGCTGGGATTGTGACACATGGGTTAAGCCACAGCCTGTGATGCCAGCATCCCATATGGGCTTCACTTGCTGTTCCATTCTTGATCAAGCTACCTGCTAATGAGCCTAGGAAAGCAGCAGAAGATGGCCTAAGTATGTGGGACCCTGCCACTTATGTGGGAGACCTGGATGGAGTACCAGGCTCTGGGCTTCAGCCTGGCCCAGCCCTGACCACACCTAAGCCACTGGAGAGTGAACCAGCAAATGGAAGATCTTTGTCTCTCTCCCTCCCTCTCTGTAACTCTGCCTTTCAAATAAATAAATAAATCTTTTTAAGCTATTTTTTGTATGGTTAACTAATGAAAGTAAAGATAGTTTTAATGAGAGGAGAGAGGCTGGCACTATGTATAGTGGGTAAAGCTACCTCCTGTGGTGCTAGCATCCTATATGAGCACCAGTTCAAGATCTGGCTGCTGCACTTTCGATCTATCTCCCTGCTAATGTGCTTGGGAAAGCAGCAGAAGATGGCTCAAGTGCTTGGGCCCCAGCACCCATGTGGGAGACCCAGAGGAGGCTCCTGATTCCTGACTCCTGGCTTTGGCCTGGCACAGCCCTGGCCATTGCAGCCATCTGGAGAGCGAACCAGCAGATGGAAGATTTCTCTGTCTCTTCCTCTCTCTGTGTAACTCTGACTTGCATATAAATAAATAAATCTAAAAAAAAAATTCCTTTAACATTCCGTATATTAGTGAATAATAGCATCTATGTAACCATGGAACCTAGATTTCTTATATTTCTCTATACTGTAATGGCTTCATTACAAATTTATTAGACCACAGGACTGTAAATTCCATTTAGTCAGGGACGATGCTTTCTTTCAACAGCAATTTCAATACTTTAGTTACCACCAGTACATTGTAGATAGCCATTAACCAGTTGCTATGACAACCATTAACCACTTACTGTATCAAGAAAATAAATGATGACCAAGTAAACTGAGGCAACAGGGAATGAAACCTCAGAATAACAAGACCAGACCTTTGGGGCTGCTACTTGTGATGTCGGCATTCCATATGGAAGTGCTAATTTGAGTCCCAGTACTCCACTTCTGACCCAGCTTCCTGCTAATGCACCTGGGAGAACAATGGAGGATAGTCCAGGTACTTGAGTCCCTACCACCCATGTGGGAGACCAGGATGGAGTTCCTGGCAGGAATAGACCTGGCTGTTGTGGGCATTTGCAGAGTAAATCAGCGGATGAAGATTCCTCATTAGCTCACTCACTTGTACTTGTTCTCATGCTCTCTCTCACTCTCCCTCCCCCCATCTCCCTCTCTCTCTCTGTTGCTCAAATAATTAAAAAAAAAAAAAAAAAGACTAGACGATAGGGCAAGTGCAGTGGCACAGCAGGTAAAATTGCCGCCTGCAGTGCCAGCATCCCATACGGATGCCAGTTCGAGTTCCAGGTGCTCTTCTTCTAATCCAACTCTCTGCTATGGCCTGAAAAGCAGTAGAAGATGGCCCAAGTCTTTGGGCCCCAGCACCTGTGTGGGCAACCCAGGAGAAGCTCCAGGCACCTGGCTTCAGACCCACCCAGCTCTGGCCATTGCAGCCATTTGGAGAGTGAATCAGCAAACCTCTACCTCTGTAACTCCGCTTTTCAAATAAATAAATAAATCTTTAGGAAAAAAAAAAAAAAACTAGATGATAGCCAAAAAGGAGTTAATCAAATGAAATGAAAACATCAAAGCCAAGACAATAAATAAAATAAAATAAAATAAAATAAAATAAAATAAAAACTGGACTTGATGTAACAATATATAATTTAAATTTGACAAAATATTCTACAAAAATCTATATTCCTTATATTTAACTTTAATAAAATTCTAAGAGGTTCAGATCCAAATTCCTTGCTAAAATATTGGGGGGGGAGGCAAATATTGTGGTGCAACAAGTCACTACTTGGGACATGTGCATCCCATATCAAAGTGCTGGTTCAAGTCCTGGCTATTCCACTTCTGATCCAGCTTCCTGCTGATATGCCTGGGGAGGCAGTGGAAAATGGCCCAAGTATTTGGGTCCCTGAAACCCAAGTGAGAGAACCAGATGGAGTTCTAGATTCCTGGATTTGGCCTGGTCCAGTGATAACTACTGCAAACTGAGGAGTGAACCAATGGATGGAAGTTTCCTCTCTCCTACTCTGCCTTTCAAATAAATAAATCTTTTGAAAAATATACCTTTATATACCTTAGTCTACATAATCTTGTACTAACTATATACATAAGGATTCACATACTGGTAAATCTGAATGAAAAGCTAATAAATTTAAACACAATTTAGAAAACATCTAGCCCAAGTCTCCTTTCTTACAGATGCGGAAATGAATATTATAAAATTGAAACCATTGGTCAAAAGTCAGAGTAAATTAGTGAGAGTTCTACTATCTTAATATGCTTAAGAACAATAATAAATGAAAATCAAAACAAAAACATAATTAGATATATAAGGGCATCTTCAAAAAACTCACTGAAAACATGTCATTATGAAAAACTGCATGGATTTCACCAAGACAAACTTATCTTCTAATTCCATTTTTCCATGAACTTTTTAAAATACTCTTTTGTAACAATCATACTAAAGAGATTTTTAAAGAAAAAAGTTCAAATTCTGTTCAAAAGTATTAATCTCATTAAATTTAAGTTCATTTTAAAAGATTCCAGCAAATGTGAAGTTAAAAGTCAACACAATCCAAAAGTAAACATGCCTGCTATTTACTTATATAAATCCCTTATGGTAGCAGAAAGATTTAAGTTAGCCACATCTTATGGTATATCCTGGAATCCTAGATTCTGTCATCATTATTTCCATAAGGAAAAAGGTGATAATTTAAAAAAGTAAAGACTTTTCAACCATATATTTTAAAAGTTTAGGTTATTTAACACTTTAAGTCTACCTATATTTTCTCCCATAGAATACAGCTTTTTATTAGCTAACTGGTAAAACCTTCAGCATCAATCAAGAACAATATTATGGCCTGTTACCAAACCTAAAAATAAACTGTTACTTACTAAGTTGTAAGAAGCAATTCAATTCAGATAGGGTCAAAACAAATATTTTAGATAGCTATAAACAGACAGGATTAGAGACAAGGTATTCCAGCACTACCGTGCTTACTACTGCTTACCAATAAGTAACAGCATTGGGATCCATTTGCCCCTAGAGCTAATAGACTTCTCTAAAAAGTAGCTTAAAACCATTTATGGTTATTCTTAAATATTCTTATTCATCAAATAAAATTATGGAAGTAAATTTCTGCTAGTAAAACAGGGGTTATTCTTATAGTCAGTATGCAAATGATGACAAACTGCATATTGTAACATTTAATTAAGGATAGGGAAGGAATTATTAGTCTATTGTATATTTTAACATCTTATGTCTTGAATCACTAATCTGAAATTTAAAAAAAAAAAAAAGCCTCAGAGCATTAAAACCCCACACCTGAAAGACTTACCATTTTATCTAGATGTTCAATGGATCTATAAATCTCCCCCTGGGATTCATCATAGTAACTGTAACGGAACCTCTGACCTTGAAACAAATATCATGTACAAAATAAAATAGGGAAAAATTAGAAGCTAAAAAGAAAGCAAGCGCTTACCAAATCATTTCAGTTCTCATGAAAGGCAAAGCACAGCTTAAGCCTCCGAGAGAGTCATTCCCAAGAGCCCTCAGACGTAAAAATCAAAGGCATATTTGGGAAGGTAATAAGGAAATGATATATCACCAGGTTTAATGATATTAAAAACTATTTCAAACTGAAGGAACCTTAAAGTAATCAGCAATACAAGATTAAGGAAACAAAACAGCTTAAAAGTTAAAAGCACTATAAAACATTTTATCAGTCTATAATGTAAAGTAAACCCAAAGAATGATTCAAGAAAACTTGGTATGAGAAAACTACTTCAGTGTAACAAATCAACAAAAGCCTAGTTTTAGCTGTACAAATGCAAAGATCTGATCTTCATTACAGAAAAAAAACATGTGTAGGTCAGACATACTTGTGGCTTGTGTGACCTTTATGACCTTAGGAAGAAAAAAAAAAACCTCACTTGGAGAAAGATCAATACAAGTGCCTTACGCAATGTGAATTCAATAAACAAAAGAATAAATGTGATAGTCCTATCCTGTCATAAAATCTCAGTGAAAGGACAAGCACAGAACTTTCAATGTTTAGCTGTTCTCCAAAGAACAGATTATATAAAATCGGAAAAGCTTAAAAAGACAGAAAACAAAAGATTCAGAAAATAAATTATTTCCTACTATAGTCATAGGAAAATAAAAAGTTAAATATATCCATAATTATGAATTATTTAACTATGACATATTTCAGATACACATAATCTATCTTTAAGTAATGCTGCTTTTCACCAATAACTCATTACTTTCATATATACTTCTTTTGAAGACTCATCAAAATGCATTTCCAAAGTATTAGAGTATTTCAATCACGAACACATACTACATGTCTTGTGTTTCATGTTTACAGTAAAATTAACACATCTACTTTTTATCCTTTCCCATCTGGGAAGATAGGTTTCTTCTGGCTTGATAATCATGACTTCTAAGTTTTGTTAGTGTTATTAAAAAATTATCCTATAAATAATGTACAGTGTAAAACTTTATAACCCTCTTTGAAAAGTCCCTGTCTCAGAATTTAACGTTTCATTCATCTGTTGATATGGCCATCTTTGACGGTCATCTTTCTAAAATATATCATATTTTCTTAACTTTCTTATTTTAATTTTCATGCACATGAACTTACACAATTACTAGATACAGGAATTATTTTTCCCAAAGAGCCATTATTAAACCAACATTATTTCACATAACTCATGATATCTTAAAACAGAATAGGGCCTGAAATAATATCTGCTTCCTGAATATAACAAAACTACTGCATGTTGTCATAGCTAGGAGCTCAACAGCTTTTGAACTAAAAGAAAACCCTTAAAGGTAACAATGATAATTTATCAATTAATGTTTGTATATTAAATAATTTATGGAATATCTTTCAACATGTAGCATAAATAACAGCTTTTTCTTTAATGAATGTATGCATTTCACATACAGCTAATAATGAGAATAACCTACCAATGAGAACTATACAATTGACCCTATCTTTGTCATTGCCCAGAAGGCTGTAAGAGGGCTGCTCAAAGCCAAATCTGAAGTTCAATCACTTCTAATAACTTCCTGATCCAATTCACTGGGACTACATTTTTACTTCTGTTTAAAAGTTTGTCCCAAATCTATTGTGAAACAAAGAAGAACACTGTCACCATAATGAGATTTCCTAAGAAGAAAGCAAGGTTAACATAAACCTTGATTTTTTGAAAATGAATTGCTTCAGGTATGTAGTAATATGAGAATACTTCAAAAAGTTCACAGAAGATACATTATTATGAGAAAACTGCAAGGGTTTCAATGAAAACTTTTGCACTAAAATAAACTTACATTTCAATTCCACAAACTTTTTGAAGTACCTCACACAATCTCTTCCTTTCTTCTAGAAACAGCTGTCAGTTTTAGCTACTGTCAATAAGCCTTGTGACTGGGGCATGCTGTCTTATCAGAAGACTGCTACTCCCAGGTGTAAAGAAAAATGCGGGGACTTTGGGACAGCCATTTGGTCTTCAAAAAATCTTTTCTCCTTTCTTTTTTTTTTTTTTTTTTTTTTTTTTATTTTTTTGACAGGCAGAGTGGACAGTGAGAGAGAGAGACAGAGAGAAAGGTCTTCCTTTTGCCGTTGGTTCACCCTCCAATGGCCGCCGCGCTGCGGCCGGCGCACCGCGCTGATCCGATGGCAGGAGCCAGGAGCCAGGTGCTTTTCCTGGTCTCCCATGGGGTGCAGGGCCCAAGCACCTGGGCCATCCTCCACTGCACTCCCGGGCCACAGCAGAGGGCTGGCCTGGAAGAGGGGCAACCGGGACAGAATCCGGCGCCCCGACCGGGACTAGAACCCGGTGTGCCGGCGCCGCTAGGCGGAGGATTAGCCTAGTGAGCCGCGGCGCCGGCTCTTTTCTCCTTTCTTACGTTTTCAGAACTGCAGTTTCAAATGGCTGAAGTTGGTCAACCTTACCTTAACAATAAGTGAAAAGTGTAACTATATTTCAAGTGCTATCTTGCTCATATAAACCAATTTACACGTAATTTTCACTTAAAAGCTACTTCTGAATGGAGATAAAAATACATGGAATGTTTGAAATATTTCCAAATGCTAAATCAACATGTGATTTAATGAGAATGACAAAATATATAGAAAACTGATTTAATATTTTGCTATGTACTTGTCTGACCTTCAGTAACCACCTCACATTTCAATACTGAAAAACTGAATATAAATATTTGAAGTAATTGAATATTCTAACAAATCTATCAATCAGAAAGCTAAATCCATATATCTAACTACTATACTGAATACATATTTTACTTTTAACAGCCTAAATTGCCTCATAATTGTTGGTAACAAAATGCACAAATATTTTAAAACTTCTTGAGCAATGCATTCCAGTCAGTATGCATATAGAAAGCATGTAATTTGAAGTACACAGATGTCATAATCTTAGATTATATGTATAAATGTATTTATCTGTGTGTGCAAATGGGCACACGCGTATATACACACATGCACACGCAAACACTTTTGTCAATCACCACACGAAAACTGAGTTCAAAGGTCTTTTTTCCTTCCTATTAAAAATAAGTTTCTCAAGATTTATTTAATAGCTCAAAGGATATTTACTTAATAGATCAAAGGAAATGCTTGATTCAAAAGTACTTCATTCACCTCATAAGCGTATATATGTCATTTTACAAGTTTTTATATTTCTGACATTCAATAAAAGTTATGAATGTGAACTGTGAACAAGTACACTTCTATACCTGGAGAACTGGACTTGCGGACTTTTATACGTATGAATAAAGTATATCACATAGTAAGAGAAAATTACTTACCTGAAACTTATCCTTTCAGAAGGTACACTGGGAAAATGGATTCTCTGAGCCCCTGTTTCAACTCCAAGTATGAACTTTCTGGCTTTAAGAGCCACTGACACTGCCCTAGGGGCAGCACAAGCTTTGGAGCTCCCCTAGTGAGTGTGTCAGTAGTTTCTTCAGGTGCCTTCCCTCAGTTCTTTTCAAATTCAAAAGAGGAGAGGAAAAATAACCCAAGGAAAAAAATCCTGTAAAGCAGAAACCTTACTCTTTGAGGGAAGGAGGGTAGCTCATTTGTGAATCCATTCCAGAGCACGCTTTCTGAGAAAAAGAAATACAGGTAAGTAATTTTCCCATCTCCAAAGGTGACTGGTGATTAATGAGTGGATTCACAGAGTGTGGAGAGTAAGCTCCAGGGATGTCTGTATAACACACAACAATCAACTAATGAGGACAAACATAACAATGAATGGTACAAGAACCAACACTACTTTTTAAATACCTCAAAAAGCAAAAAATATTAAATACCTCAACATTAAGCTATGCTCTAGACTACAAGAATAAACAATGACTTTGGAAAGTTGACCTATAAATCTTTCAAAAGAACAGTCAATAATTTCAGACATATGTCCCATTAAAATGTACTGTTATATATTTGCTTATTTTATTTATATGTTAAAACCATTTTCAAATAATTGAGTTAAATCTCACAACTGGTGAGACATTATCAGGCCATTCTACACCAATGACTTGAACTTGGGGCATTCACAACTGAAACCATTATCAAGGTAATCATTTTTCTTTTTTTTTTTTTTTTTTTTTTTTTTGACAGGCAGAGTGGACAGCAGTGAGAGAGAGAGAGACACAGAGAAAGGTCTTCCTTTTGCCGTTGGTTTACCCTCCAATGGCTGCCGCAGCCGGCGCACCGCGCTGATCTGATGGCAGGAGCCAGGTGCTTCTCCTGGTCTCCCATGCAGGTGCAGGGCCCAAGGACTTGGACCATCCTCTCCACTGCACTCCCTGGCCACAGCAGAGAGCTGGCCTGGAAGAGGGGCAACCAGAACAGAATCCGGTGCCCCGACCGGGACTAGAACCTGGTGTGCCGGCGCCGCAAGGCGGAGGATTAGCCTAGTGGGCTGCGGCGCCGGCCAAGGTAATCATTTTTAAAAGCTAAATATTACCATCTTTTTATTCATGTAAAGGTAATAACCTTACATCAAACCTACACAAGATCAAAAGTCTACATATGTGAATCAATTTGAGAAGTCAAACATGAAGACTTGGGTAAGATACATTTTGGGAGTTAGCTAACTTATACTCAACTCAATTTAAATACTTAGAAAATGGTTAACAGCCTTGGACTAAAGAAACTAACAGAGAGAAGAAGAATATCAATGAATAATAATTTATTAATATATATTAAAGGAGAAAGTTAAAGATATAAATTTCATAAATATTTAGGAAAAAGCTTTTATTAGTGACATATTTTATTAAATTATTATGCAAAACTAGATGAATGTGAAGTTTATGGAGAAAAATTCAAAATTACAAAGACTATTAGAAAACTTCATTCATATTTTCATAAAATAAAATGT